GAGGGGCGGGCGAGGTCAGGGGTCAGGGCACCGCGCTTTCTCGGGGCGGGCTGGAAGGGGAGCAGGTGGCTCGCGGACATGCCTGGGGGTCGGGCTCGGGGGCCAGGACGGGACGTTCGCGCGCCGTGCGGGCTGAGAGGGGAGGTGCGCACACGGAGGGCCTGAGGCTCCGGCGCGGGGTCCCGGGGACTGATGGAGCCGCGGTGTTCGAAGAAAGAGCGAAGAGGGGGTGCTAGGAGCGGGGACGGGGAGGGAACGCCGGAGGTCGCGGGGGTCTCGCCCCCTTCCCCGCCGCGGCCTAGGACAAATGGTCCAGCTCCCAGCTGGCCCCGGTGGCGGGTCCCATGATGGAGGGTGCGCCGGTCCGCTTCGACGCCGCGAAAAGGCCGACGGGCACAGGGCAAGGTCCCCCGCAGCCGCCTTATCGGCGGAGCCGGGGAGCCGGGTCTGCTCTCTGGGCCTCCGGCCGCCCACTTCAACAAAAGGCTCGTTTGAACCCAGCCGACGCCCGGGGAGCGCCTTCCGTGCGAAGGGCCTGGGCCGGCGGCTCAGTGGTTGTGGGAAGGTTGGCTTGGGGGCTGCTTGTGCAGCTTTCGGGGCCCCTGGAATTCCAGGCTCCAGGAGAGGGGTGTTACTGTACATACTGGGGCATATTGTACATATGTTAGTGGGCCGGGTGCCTCTCCAACTCTTGGGTTTCATACGTCCCTACTTGTAAGACTCTTGCTTTCTTTATATTCCACCTTTGGATTCTTCTTTCCTTCTGGTTTCCTCCAGGTTCCCTACCTCATCTACTGTGTCGGACTCTTGCAAAGAGCATCATTAGAGGAGAAGTTGAGGAGCTCCGGCTTGAGTTTCCTGTGTGTAAAATGAGGATATTCTTGTATTGTCCGAGCTTTTGTTCAGAGGGGTACTATGAAGTTAAAGGGATGTGACAGCGCTTTGAAGTGGAAAGCAAAAGCAAAAATTATATGGAAGGAGAGCTTCGACGGGAGATAGGCATGCAGAAACTTTTACTGGCCACGATTTCAGTGAATGTTGTTGAAAACAGGGGCAGCTGTGTTTACTTTGACTTCTGTGGTATCTGAGGCCTGACCAGTTGACATCACTTCTTGGCTGTGTAAGCCTTGGAGCAAGTTGCTTAGCCTCTTTGTTTTTTTGTTCCACAGAGGTAAAATAAGTTTTGATAGTATCAGTCCTACAGGTTTTTGGGAATTATTAGTTAATGAACATAAAGTGCTTAGAACAGTTTCTGACCTGTAGGAGTTATTGTTATTACCTACATGTGCCTTCTCTGCCCCTTAAAGTTTCTAAATTAAGGAATTCTAACCTTATTCTTTGCTCAGAATCCCATGAACCCTTAGGCCTGTGTTTTCCGTTCACATCATTAACTTTGATCTGAGGGTCATTAACTTTGACCTTAGGGTATAGTGTAATTATATGTGACTAGGGACTTTCTGCTGGGTGTTTTATTAAATAAGGTTGGAAACTATCATTCATTATATTAGGTCATTTACTGTGATATCTGTGTTGGGCAAATAAAACCTGAGAACTTCGGCTGTTTATTTTTTCATTGGACAGTATTTCATTCACAATGTTGCCTGACTTAGGCAGTTTATTTTGGATCCTATACCAAAAAGGCCATGATTGCAGCATGCTTGATTTCTCATGTTTCCATGATGACTGTGGGACTCAGGAGGGGAATTTCTGAGTAGCTGGCAGCACTTCATGGTAAGGAATGGGGAAGGTTTGTATGACTCTGATTTTACTCTATGCTGGGAAATCAGCAGTGGTCTCTTGGATTATTCTGTTTGGATTACTAAGCAGCTTTGGTTCAGTTTTGACTCAGAGTTAGAGAATGCTATCTACAAAGTACGATCTTTTCTGTTTGACCTCTAGAGGACTGTTTTGTCTTCTGAGTCTCCTCTTCAAGGAAGTTACTGTTTATACACATAGCATTATTAGGGACTTATCACAAAATGAAAAACACTGAATTTATGAAAAAGAACACTGCTTACTTCAGCAGCATGCTGGTCACATTTTGCTAAAGTATAGATGGTGTAAGCTTAGTTATTTAGCTTTGGAATAAGATAAAGACTTCTTTTTTCTTTTTTTTGAGTTGGAGTCTCACTCTGTCGCCCAGACTGGAGTTCAGTGGCCGCTCCCGGCCACTGCAGCCTCGACCTGCTGGGCTCTGGCGATCCTTCTGCCTCAGCCTTCCAAGTAGCTGGAACTACAGGCATGCGCTACCACACCCGGCTGATTTTTTGATTTATTGTAGAGATGAGGTCTCGCCAAGTTGTCCAGGCGGGTCTCGAACCTGTGGGCTCAGGCAATCCACTTACCTCAGCCTCCCAAAGCATGGGATTACAGGCTGAGCCACCGAGCCCGCCCGAGAACTTTTTCTTAAACTAACACCATGGGGGCTTTTCACTTTGCTTCTTATATCATCTTCTGTCATGATGTAGATAAAATCAGAGTCTTCAACCTGACTTTTTGTTTATCGTTTTATATCACTTTTTTTTTGAGTCAGTGCCTTACTCTGTCACCCAGGCTGCAGTGCAGTGGCTCGGTCACAGCTCACTGCAGCCTTGACCTCCTGGGCTTAGATGATCCTCTTGCATCAGCCTCCTAAGTAGCTGGGACTGAAGGCGTGCCCACCATGCCTGGCTAATTTTTTAGTTTTTTGTTGAGATGAAGTCTTGCTATGTTGTGTAGACTGGTCTTGAACTCCTGGGCTCAAGCAATACTCCCGCCTTGGCCTCTCAAAGTGCTGGGTTTACAGGTGTGAGCCCCTGCACTCTGCATCGCATTCATCCTTTTTTTTTTTTTGATTAGGAATCTCACTGTGTCGTCCAGGCTGGAGTGCAGTGGCACACTCATGGCCACTGCAACCTTGGCCCACTGGGCTCAGGCGATCCTTCTGCCTCAGCCTTCCAAGTAGCTGGAACTACAGGTGCACGTCACCCACACGGCTAATTTTTTTATTTAACTGTAGAGATGAGGTCTCACCAAGTTGCCCAGGCTGGTCTTGAACCCCTGGACTCAGGCAATCCTCTCACCTCTGCCTCCCAAAGTGCTGGCATTATAGGCATGAGCCATCACACCTGGCTATACATTCATTTTAATAAGAGAAAAATAGGATAAACTTATCCTAGTTTTAAAAATAATACTAGATTTTACATCCTCAAGAATAATGTGGAAACATGGTTTTTCTAAGCTGTTTCTTTCTCCTCACCCCCAAGGGAAGCAGATTGAATTCTGGAACTAATTGGATGGATATTTTTGATAGAAAGGCTCAGAAAATGTCTTCTTCATGATCTAGAATGGAAAAATTAAAGTACTAATCTCTCATTTAAAAAAAAAATGGGCTGGGTGTGGTGTCACACACTTGTAATCCTAGCACTTTGGGAGGTCACGGTGGGAGGATTCCTTGAGCCCTGGACGTCGAGACCAGCCTGGGCAATATAGCAAGTCCTCATCTCTACAAAATAAAAAAATTAGCCAGACATGAGGCAGAAGGATTACTTGAGCCCAGGAGGTTGAGGCTATGATGAGCTGTGATCATGCCACTGTACTCCAGCTGGGTGACATTGAGACTCTGACTTAAAATTTAAAAAGTGACTAGTAACCTTCCCTTTGCACTCAGAGACACCTCACAGATCACTTACTAGCAACTCATTTTTTTACAAAGTAGTGAAAAACACATCACTTCATAATGAATAGTATAGTGTTGGAATGAATTATTTTATTGTAATGATATTTGGCTTATGGAATTTAGGACATTGAGGAACTTAATTTATGACAAAAAGTCAAAATTTTATATTTTATATTTTTCTAACATGGTAACGTGAAATAGTCACTGACAGGCATTGCAGGTTCATTGACACATGTTGTGCTATAGTAATTTACTTGACGTCTTCCTCCTGGTGTTTTTCTATTCAAGAAGGCAATGCAGTCTTGTTTTTCTTCCTCCCATGTTAATATGTAATTATCGTCAAAGACGAAGTAGGAGGACATTCTCTTTCTGTGTAATGACAGTTGATATTTTTGTTTATGTATGTCTTGGTATATATTCCGTCTCTTTTTTGCTTTTTCATGCAAGTTGAATGGAAAACTTCAAGGAAACACACATTTTTGAAAAATTTGTGCTGGCATAACTTTGTCCTATATAATCACCAGTTCTTTATGTCCCCTGAAAGGGGATATCTGAGTGGTGTGCTAAATTTACCATGTCCCTCAGAGGGGACATCCAAGTGCAAAAGGATAAAATACACAGGGTTCTGTTTGAACCACTTGAATATTTAGAAAAGTTTTTTCTTTGTTTGTTTGTTTTTGAGTCTGATTCTCACTCTGTCACCCAGGCTGGAGTGTAGTGGCACGCTCATGTCCGCCACAGCCTCGGCCTGCTGGGCTCAAGTGATCCTTCCACCTCAGCCTTCCAAGTAGCTGGAACTACAGGCATGTGCCACCATGCCTGGCTGATTTTTTAAATTTATTGTAGAGGTGAGGTCTCACCGAGTTGCCCAGGATGGTCTTGAACCCGTGGGCTCAGGCAATCCTCTCATGTCGGCCTTGCAAAGTGCTAGGATTATAGGTGTGAGTCACTGCGCCCAGCCTCACTTTGTTTTTTTTGTTGTTTTGAGTCGGGATCTCACTCTATAGCCCAGACTGGAGTGCAGTGGCATGATCATGGCTCACCACAGCCTCGACCTGCTGGGGTGAAGGGAACCACCCTCCTCAGCCTCCTGAATATCTGTGACTGCATAATCACCCCTGGCAAATTTTTAAATTCTTCTTATAGAGATGAGGTCTCGCTATGTTACCTAGGCTAGTTTCGAGCTCCTGGGTTCTAGTAATCTTGCTTTGGCCTCCCAAAGTGCTGGGATATAGGTGTGAGCCGTCACACCCCACTGGGTTTCACTTTTAAAGCCTTGATCTGTATACCTGGCAGTTTATACTTTGTCACCATGCAGCATGTCTTAGGTACTGAAAAGTGAAGAAAGCATCAAGTGGATGAGCTGGCTTTGCCATTTATCTTTAACACATTCCTGCTAACCTTTATTTATTTAATCAGTAACTTCCATGCAAACACTCTTCTGGTTGCTTCTGTGAAAGTACTTCCCCCCTGCCCTATTTTTTTGAGTCAGAGTCTCATTCTATTGCCCAGACTGGAATGCAGTGGCATGCTCATGGCCACTGCAGCCTCGATCTGCTGGCCTCAGGTGATCCTTCTGCCTCAGCCTTCCAAGTAGCTGGAGCCACAGGGGTGTGCCACCATGCCCGGCTAATTTGTTGATGTATTGTAGAGACAAAGTCTCACCAAGTTGCCCAGGCTGGTCTCTAACCCCTGGGCTCAGGCAATCCTCTTGCCTCTACCTTCAAAGTGCTAAGTTTACAGATGTGAGCCACTGTGCCTGGCTTCTTTTCCTATTTAATGCTGCCTTTGATTCTATTGAGGTAGGGGAGGTAAGAACAAAATGGGGAAAGAATTAGAGGATGTGTTCAAAAACATGTTTCTCTAAACCTTACAATTAATTGTAGGGAGACATTTTCA